AAAAAACTGGAATTTTACTGACATAATTGGATTATGAGGTTTAAAGATTGATGGAACTTTTCTGTTCCAAATATAATTGTTCAAATACCAAACCTAAACGGGTATGTAGAAGTCCTTATGTAGCTAGAGCCAGAGGAATGCTGCAGGGTGCATCGCAGAGTGGCCCAGCAGCAGGGGTCAAGAAGCTATCAAAAGCATAGGAGTTGTGAGCCCTGGTATTGAAGGATCTGGGAGTCTTACAGGAATGTGTCACCTTTTCTGCAGCCACATCCTATCACTAAATGAAGACTGCTTTAGTCCCTCTAGCTCCCTCTATGCCTGCTCACTTTTCAGATACCGGTTCAAGCACCAATACCCTTGGCAGTGGCTCATACTGGTATCATACTGGTATCATCGTGCCATACTTTGCTGTAATTTGTCTCCCTGAGAAAGAATAAAGTCCTAAAGAACAAGAACTGGGCCTTTTTTGTCTCTGTATTTCCAGTAACTAACTTAGAATTTGGCATATATTACATACATCCATATAAAAATAATATGTATAAATAGATGTATATAGGAGAGAAGACAGGAAAAGGAAAAAGACATAGACGGTTTCATTTAGGAGTTTACAGAATATGTATTAACTTATTCATGTTTTTTAGTGGGTGCTCGGACTCATTCCAAATTCCTGTGACATTCCTAGGAACGTAATGTTGATAAAAACCTCTTTGAAGGCACTGCACCTCTGAGCAGAAGAAATCACAGTACTACAAACGCTTGTACCAAGCAACTCTCCCCTCCGGCACAATCCTACCCAATTATCGAATTTCCACTACCCATGGATGGTATTCAATTAATATTTGTCAGCTGAAAAACTAAGTGAATCTATCTTAAGACTGAAGAGGAGGAAAAGATAATCAGATAAAAGACTTCAGCATACCACAGACTTCTCTTTATGTTCATCTTTTATTGTAAAAATTAAGCAGTTAACTGATTACATACATAAATACATAAATAATTAATCTTGGTGCCCTCATAAGGTATATGGGTCAGGAGATAAGTGCAGTGTCCAGACAAAAGCATTAGTGTTCCAGAACAAAAAGCCAATGACACTTGTGTCCTCATTACTTCCTGTGCTTTCAGCCAACTGGGATCAATGGGATTTGCTCAGGCCCCACACACGGATTTATGGAAATTACTTAGTTTCAGCTAAGCTAATCCTTACAAAATAGGCAAGTGGCTAAAAAAGATTCTTACAAAGATCCACAGACTGAAGATGCTACTAAACTAATAATACTAATTCACTAATACTACTACTAAAACGGCAAAGTTGACATTTCTTCTGCCCCTAATATAAATTCATCACCAGCCACATGTATGTTTCAAAACAATGACTGCCAACCATATGCTACCCAGCAGATCCTTAGAAAAAAATAAAAACACTTAATCTGTTACTTCAAAGTAAAGGCGACATTTTAACAAGAAAAAAAATACTGATTTTTGAACAAAATAAAACAAAAAAACTCAGGTTTTGAAGACAAAATTTTTAAAAAGGGCATTTGAAATGTCATAAACTTGGAGACCTAAAACAATCTAAGCCTAAGATTGCACTACTGCAAAACTACTCATCTCTATACACTTAAACTCTGTGAGAGAATTTTCTACCTATTTTTTCAAGATGCCAACTGAAGAATAACCAAAGACTATGAACCTATTTTTTTAACTCTAAAAATATAGCACCTTTTAATTAGTTCACAAGAACTGACTGACATCATGAAAGATGAAAATTTATTAGCTGGATTGTATTTCTGAATATAATCAGTCAATAGGACTAAAACATGAGTATTATGATTTAGTAATTTCAATTATCTTCTTCTGAGGTATCTTTTTCAGTTATGATAACCATTAAATCTAAAACTAAGTATCAAAATATACAGAACTTATAATCAGAACTTTGTGTTTCTATATCACAGGTTGTGAAAGCAAAAATTTAAAAAAAAAACCATGAATTTCAATCACACTGCTCTCATCAAAAGTAAAATTATGAATGTGAACAGTTTACTATACCTTTTTAAAGGAAAGTATCTTCAAAATTTATTTTATTCTCATTTTTCCACTTTTATGTATATTTATAATGTACATAATAAATAAGCAAAGTGGTAAATATGCTTGTGATTTTAAAATAAAGACATAAATGTTATTGGGAATGCATGTTTCAAAAAACTTTAGAGATTACTACTTTAGGTATTGGGAAACAGTTGAAAGATTTTAACCTAAAGGAGTAAAAGAAATTAGATTTGAATTTTAGAAACATAATCCTAGCGATAATAGGCAATGAAAACGTGTTGGGAGGTTAAAGTGATTAAAAAAAAATCACTGATACTATGCTCATAGCAGTATACTACAGCTCGTCCTATAAGCTCCCTGGATCTGCGAATCCTTGCACAGCACACACAAGCATATTTTAACAGAGTTCTTCTGCAAAGCAAGGCCTCCTGTTCTGTGGTCTAATTCAGAGGCAACTGGGGCCAAAGAAAAAGGCAACGTGGAACCACCCGAGTGGAACTGAGAACACACTGGGCTGGCGGACTGTTGAAATGCCTTATTATTTATCTGTAGGCTAGGAATCAGGCTAGAAAAGATCAAGCACCTCTCTTTTCTGACAGTCCCATGTATAATTTTTAAAAGATATAAAAGTTATTTTAAAAAATAATTTGGGGGCACCTGGGTGGCTCAGTGGGTTAAAGCCTCTGCTTTCGGCCCAGGGTCCTGGGATCGAGCCCCACATCAGGCTCTCTGCTCAGTAGGAAGCCTGCATCCCCCTCTCTCTCTGCCTGCCTCTCTTCCTACTTGTGGTGTCTCTCTGTCAAATAAATAAATAAAATCTTTAAAAAAATTTTTGAAAAATAGAGCAATTTATAAAATGAAGTGAAATACTGCCCCTGCCTACCTCCTACTACCCTACCAAGTCTACCCATGATCACGACTGTCGATGTTCGATGTATTTCCTTCCAGACCATTTTCTATGCATATATATTTTTGTATATGCATATATACGTATGCATGGGTATATGCTTTTGGACAGTATTTTTATATTCTTTGGCTTTATTAAAAATAGGCTCATATTCACGCTGCTTTGAAACTTGTTTCTTTTACTTGACAACAGATGACAACCGCCCCTTTAGGACAGTCCACATGGATCTAGTTCCTTTTGGCAGCTGCAGGTAACACAACCTTGCTGGTATGACAAGGTTATTTAACCATCCCTTTGCTGGGGTGCCTGGGTGGCTTAGACGATTGAATGTCCGATGTTTGCTGTAGGCTCAGGTCATAATCTCAGGGTCATGGGACTGAGTCCCGAGATGGGCTCTGCACTCAGCAGGGAGTCTGACTGAGACTCTCCCTTTGCCCCTACCATGCCTGTGTACCCTCTCTCTATCTCTCAAATAAATAAATATATTTTTTTAAAAAGCCATCCCTTTGTTGAGGGACATGAACAGTGTCACTTTTACAACAGAGCAGCAATGAACATTCTTGTACATCTATCCTTGTATGCTTTGAGTAGGATGGGTTTCTGGAAGTCAAGTTTTTAGGTGAAAGGGTAGGTACATTTCAAATGTTGATAGTTACTGCAGAATGACTAGACTGACTTAAACTTCAAACAATGAAGTTCAACCATTCATTCTTACTAGATTTTTTTTTTTATAGATTCCGAGGTTTAGGGAAAGACCTCAGCAAATGAGCCCTTCAATTTGTATATGAGAAAATGATGGTTCAGAGAGAGTGGTTTGGGCCCAAGATCCCAAAGCCCCTGATGAGATCACAGACCAGCAGGAGTTCCACAAGTGGTGGTTACTATTGAAAGCCAGGACAGCAACTTGAGTTAAGTGACTGCAGATATAAACGTGTGGTCCATCAGAGCTACTAACAAGAAGGAAAGGCGACTGTCATCTCCTTTTCCTTGCCTACCCTTGGCAAGAAAAGAAAAAAAGGCATTTGTATCTTTAAGGAAAAAGATACAATAGCAAGAGGGAGCAGAGAAGGAGGATTCTCGAACTAGATGGAGTAAGGGGCACCAAGAGCGAAGGAATCATAAGTTCAGCTGCATGAAGTGAGCAAGTGTGGTGGAAAAGACTCTGACATGGGATGACCTTAGCAGAAAACCTTCCACAGCCTCAGTGGGTTGTATGAAAAGTTTCTTGGTTCTAAATATCTCCATGTGGCATCCAAAATGAATGCCAGTACTGAAACCAAATTCTGAAGAGAAATATCAGAAAAGAACTAACATCCCACAATGAAGAAACATCTTCAAAGAAGATGTTGTTATAAAAATACCACAAAAGTACTTTCCAACAAATTCCAGACCTAAAAGTAAAGCTTTAAAATGAAGCTCCAAGCACAGAAGCTTTGAATCCTTTGCTCTGTGCCTGAAGAGGCCCATTTAAAGGAAGGTACTTCTGACCAGATAACATTGTTGTTATTCCATCAGACCTTAGGGGACATAACAATGAGAAAAAGAGATGGCAACTGTTACCTTCTGAAATTAGAATGGTCAAGAACAAATGGCAGCAGGCTTTTTCTATAAAGGGCCACAGGGCCCTTTCCAGGCCATATGGTCTCTGTTGCAATTATTCAACCCTAATGCTACAGTGCACAAAGACAGCCATAAACGAAATATAACCAAATAAGCATGGCTGTGTTCCAATACAATTTAATGGATACTGAAATTTGAATTTCATACAATTTTCATGAAAGATTATTTTGTTTTGATTTTTTTTTCAGTCATTTAGAAATACAAAAACCATGCTTAGCTCATAGGCTATTCATAAATAGGCAGCGGGCTGGATTTAGCGTGTGGGCCATACTTTGCCCCCTTCTGGTACAGAGCACTTAAGTCTCAACTGAACTGAATTTGAAAGTTGGTAGAAAGATGGAAACATCTGAGGCCCATCCCTAAGAAAGTGAAGTTAGAAGACAGAAAGGTAGAAACATGTTGTTCTTAAAGAGTTTCAGACATTTACCTTAAATCTCTTCTCTTGCTGAATTCCTCTGGTGGGACTGTCCAGGGCAGGCCTTGAGGGAGACAGTCTAGAACTTCGGAAGAGAAATCAGAGAAATCCACACCATACTCTGTTAGTATTCCTTCTGTTTCAGGCTCAATTTCACCAGCCTGACCAAGGCTCTTAGCCAGCTGCCTGTGAACAGGACAGAGAGGAACAAGTATGTCAGTGAATAAATAGACCATAGGCATCCGTTTCCTCTCTGAAAGTGAGGGTAGTAAGCAAATCTTCAAAACCTCCTGTCCTTCCCCCAGCAAGAACACCATCACCAGTGAATGGGGGCTGAGGGGTAAGCAGAAGAGACAATGATACTCTTATCCTGTTAGATCCCTAACTACAGGATAATTTTAACTTTCTTCAGGAACTCTGATGTGGGGAGTTGGGCCAGATGGCCTCTCTTGGGCTTCCTGCAATTGTTTTTCTTGAAAAAGTCAAATCGAGGGGTACCTGGGTGGCTCAGTGGGTTAATGACTCTGCCTTCGGCTCAGGACGTGATCTCAGGGTCCTGGGATCAAGCCCCCCATCGCATCCGGCTCTCTGCTCAGCAGGGAGCCTGCTCCCCCCACCCCGCCCCTGCCTGCCTCTCTGCCTGCTTGTGATCTCTGTCTGTCAAATAAATGAATAAAATCTTTAAAAAAAACAGTCAAATTGATATTATTAAAAGCTTTTGTCAATCCCTTCTCTTACAAACACCTTTAGAGACAATTCTGATTAGCCCAGTTTGCTGTTAAATCATTAGTTTCACAGTGCCTATACCTTTTTTTTTAAAAAAAGATTTTATTTATTTATTTAATAGAGAGAGAGATCACAAGTAGGCAGAGAGGCAGGCAGAGAGAGAGGGGGAAGCTGGCTCTCCACTGAGCAGAGAGCCCAATGCGGCGCCTTGATCCCAGGACCCCGAGATCACCAACTGAGCCAAAGGCAGAGGCTTAACCCACTGAGCCACCCAGGCATCCCACAGCGCCTATATCTCAAGTCACACTCACTAGATTAGATCAGACACTTATATTTTTTCACAATTCTAATTTTTACCTTAATATTTTAAACTATTTTATCTGAACACACTACTAATATATTTTCACTGTAAGAAGTTAGAAAATACAGAAATGCGTCATGAAGAAAATTAAAATTAATAGCAATCTGCTCACTTGGCAAACTGCCATTCACATTTTGGGGTGTTGGTCCATTAAAAGTAAGTTGCTCCATTAGAAATAAATCACTGCATTTAACAGAATAGCTCTGATGCTCTGAGTAGGGTTCCATCTTTTAGAAGGCAACTATACCTCTTCATCTATGGGTCATCTATAAATATACCAAAATTGATCGTGCTCAATTCTAGTAAGTCCTGGCATACCACATTTAGGACATAAGTCAAAGTTCTGTGTAGAATACAGATAGGCAGCAGGAAATATGACATTCTTCCTGAAAGGGGTTTAGCTCAGGTATTAGGGTTTTCTCTGGAGCCATTCGATTTCTCTGAAGAAGATTGTGTTTCCTACGTAAGGGTAGGTGCCTGGCCACCAGAGTTCTTAGGTGCACCATGGCAGAGGGAGACTGGGGATGAGGTTGCCTCATGGGCAGACTTCTAACAAATTCCCATCTTCAGCCTTGCTACTGGAACAAGGCAGTAGTGGCAACAGGGCTGGCCCCACCTCTCATATGCCAGCCACGAGAAACCAGCCCAGAGTGGACACATACACCTACCCATAAGTTCCGTAGCCTATGGGGTGCCTGAGGGCTCCTCATATACAACATGGGCTCAGACTGAGTGTCATTTTCCCAGAAAGCATTATCAAAAAGCCAAAAGCAACAAAAATATGTGGGGAAAAAATACAGAAAGCTGCCAGGAAGGTCCATACATATTTGGAAATTAAACTAACAGGAGGCTAAATGAGAAATAAAAAGAGAATCAGACATATTTCAAACTGAATAAAACACAATATATCAATATTTGTGAGAAGCAGCTAAAGCATCGCTTTGAGGGAAATTCTGCTCTAAATAAATGTAATGCTCATGTTAGAAAAGAAGAAATGTCTCAAATTAGTGATCTAAAGCTTCTATCTTAAAAAATTGAAAAAAGAAGAGCAAATTAGATTTCAGGTAAGCAGAAGGAAGAAAATAATAAATAAGAATTAAGGGACAGAAAATGAATAGCCATAAAGAAAACCAATAAAATCAAAAGCTGATTCTTTGAAAAGAAAATAAAATAGAAAAGTTTCTAGTGAGGCTAATCAAGAAAAACAAGGAAAGACCCAAATTACCAATATCAGGAATGAGACAGGACACATCATTATAGATCCTATAAGCATTAAAAGGATAATAAGGGAATTATAAATGACTTAAAGGCAATATATTCAATATCTGGGATCAAATGGATAAATTCCCTGAAAGACAAACTGCCTAAGATTATTCAAGCTGAAACCAATACATGAATATTCTGTTTAAAACACTGAATTCACAGTATAAAAACCTTCTCACAAAGAAAACTCCAGGCCCAGATAGCTTCACTGGTAAATGTCACCAAGTATTTAAGAAAAGAATTAATACCAATTATATACAAACTCTTTCAGAATAGAGAAGAGGATGGGACACTTTCCAACTAGGCTCATGAAGTCACCATTACCTTGATACCAAAATCAGAGAAAGGGTGTGTAATATCAATATCCCTCATGAACACATTCTTAAACTACTTATGTAAGATTAACACACAGAATTCACCCTTGAACAATATGGGGTTGAATTGTGTGGGTCCACTTATATGCAGATTTTTAAAGATAAATACAGTACAGTAATATAAATATATTTTCCTTTCCTTATGATTTACTTAATAACATTTTCTTTTCTCTAGCTTATTTTATTGAAGGAATAGAGTCTATAATACATATAACATACAAAGTACATGTTAACTGACTGTTTATGTCATTGATAAGGCTTCCAAACAACAGGAGACTATTACTAGGCAAATTCTGGGGCAATTAAAAGTTAAACAGATTTTCTACTGTGCAAGAGGTCAGTGCATTGTTCAAGGGTCAACTGTATATATATTAAAAAAAGATAATACACCATGACCAAGTAAAGATTTAAAGATTGGTCCAGCATTCAAAAATCAATCAATATAATTCATCATATTAGCAAACAATGAGAAAAACATGCAATCATTTTGATAGATGCAGAAAAGCATTGGACAAAATTCAACATCCACTCATGATCAAAACTCTCAACAAAAGAGTAATGAATAGGAACAACCTCAATTTGATTAGTGGCGCCCAGGAAAACCCTAGCGCTAATACCACAACTTAATAGTGAAAACCTAAATGCTTTCCTCCACACCAGGAAGAAGACAAGGGTGTTAACGCTCACCAATACTATTAAACATGGGGTTGGAGGTCCTAGTAAGTATCATAAAGCAAGAGAAAGAAAGAAAAGCCATACATATTGAAAAAGAAGACTTCTACATTGCATGTAAGTGGGCCAAAGGACTACAATTTCCATTGCAGAAGTGACTAGCCTCCTACATAATGCCAGGCTTTTATAGAACACCCCTCTCACTCTATGAAAACCAATAGCCGGCACCCTGTGTATGACTTAGACTCTTCCTCAACTCATGACTTTGAATGTGGAGAGAATGACACAAAGACAAAAGGCGCTCAGGATTCATTCATGGCAGCTAGAGTGGTTTGTAGTGATAGCTGGTGGAAACAATGTCTAGTGGCAATGTTGATCTGTAAGAGCAGTGGTAGAAGCCATTGGCATTGTGGCCAAACTAATTCTGATAAAAGATGATGGCTGGGTTTCTCATCCTTGCCTCTCCAGATTTGCCTTGGTTCCTATCTACATTGTTTTTAAACATCCGAGACTCTTACTGTTTCTGTGAGTCCTTCAATATCCTTCTGATAAACTCCTTTTGCAACCAGAGTTAGTTTCTCTTATTTGCAATCAAGAAGCTAGACAGGGAGCTCTTGGCTGGCTCAGCTGGTAGGGAAGCAACTGTTGATTTCAGAGTTGTGAGTTTAAGCCCCACATTGAGTGCAGAGCTTACTTTCTTTAAAAAAAAAAAAAAAAAAAAAAAAAAAAGGTGCACCTGGGTGGCTCAGTTGGTTAACCACCTGCCTTTGGCTCAGGTCACGATCCTGGAGTTCCAGGATTGGAGTCCCAGGATTGAGTTTCATGTTGGGCTCCCTCTCCCTCTGCCTCCAGCTCTGCCTAGTTATGTGCTCATGCTCTCTCTATCAAATAAATAATAAATAAAATCTTAAAAAAAAAAAAAGTCCAGACAGTTCAAAGACTCAAGTCTCATTAATTTTCAAAATGATAATTTTTGAAATGACTATATTATTACCTGTGTTCACTAGAATGAAGTTTTTCCATTGAAGATTTAAGGAACCTGTTGTTACTGCCTCCAAGGTCTGAAGGACATTTTGGAAATAAATGGAACCTGAGTTATTTCCAACCCATCTATTATTTTCATAGCTTCCCAAGGTTCTGTTTCCTACATTCATCTTCTAATACCTATGTCTTTAACTGTCTGGGTTCTTGGTTCAAAGTACAAGAAACTAACTGGTTAAAAAAGGAATTTACTGAAAAGATATCAAACAGCTCACAGGAAAGTGAGATGCTTAGAGAACCTGAAAGAGGGATGGAAAAAAAGAATTACATGCTCAGTCTCTAAATTCCTGATTCCAGGCTAAGCTGAAAACTCAGGGACTTCCTATATGCATCAAATATGTATTTTGAATCTCTTGCAGCTGACAGGATAAGCTGAGGGGGGGGAGTTCAAAGGGCAATAAATCATCACATCATTGAATTCAGGATCTCACTAAATCTCTAATGTGAAAAGTGGAGGTACTAATCAGAAAGAATAGACTCAGGAGAACCAGACTCTCTCTTTTTCCCTCTCTACACACACACACACACACACACACACACACACACACACACTCTCTACTATATAGGAGGATGCAGAAAGGTCTGTGGACCTTGAATGTCTAGTTCCAACCGACCTTCCATTGTCATGAATCCTAAGTGGACTATGATAGGGTTATATCCATTCTACGGGTGGTCTCTGAAAAAAAGAAACTTCTACCCTGAGAGCAGAACTTCAAGCAATATATCCACAGTTTACTTTGGCTGAAGAA